AAGGTTACGTCTGCCATGGAAGGGCAGACTGTCACAATTTGACATTTGAAATCAGAGTCTAAAAAGAACTCCAGCTACTTTAAAACTGACTTTATATCTTGTTAGGTGGGTTGTCACAGGTCCTTTGGGTAACCTTCACACCTGAGTTACTTACCCTCAAGAACTTTGCAATTATTGAAATCGGATTTTGTCTTAGGCTTCGCAGTAGCCCCAGCACTTTGCATAGTACTTTTTCAGTATACACTGAGTGGCCAGATTATTATGACCACCCCATCAGTACAATGAAGTGAATTAGTTATGCAAATAATAATAATAAAACCTTGAGAGTATTTGCTTAGGAAGTTTTCAATATTCAGTATTTTTGGAAGTGTCAGTGAAGTACTGATGGGGTGGTCATAATAATCTGGTCGGTCATAATAATCTGGCCACTCAGTGTATATTGAGTAAATGATAAAGAACAAGCTTGGTGTTGATTTTATTGGTACAAATTATGTGTTTTTTAATTAATACTGTCTGTGTAGTCTAGTCTAAATAATCAGCACCGCTGTGCTAAGTTCCTGAGATGTATTATCTCAAATGAGGTCATTGGCCTGAGGAGACAAGCTTGTACCATTAGCTCTGAGCTTCCAGCACTACCCCTCATTTATTCCTTTCCTTCACTCACCCTGAGCTCAACAATTTATATGATAAAACAGCTTACACTTTGATTTTTCGCTGAAATAGCTCAATCTAACCAGAGAAGTAGCTCATTCTAGCCTCTCACAAGCACTTGAGCACTTGCGTAAGTGAAATTCCATTGTGTGAATTCCACACCAACACCACCTCTGCTCCAGCTCTCTGCCACGCTGCTCTTCACAGTCTGGAACTTCGAACTACAACAGAGGAGAGAGGAAGCATGGCTGCAGTGAGCAGTGCCCCCTCAGAAAAGTTTCACTTAAGGTAAATTCAGTTGGCAGTTCAAAGTTGTCTGTGTTCAAATGCTGCACACCCTCAGCATCGATTTGTGTCACTGTCACAGAAAGGAAGGTCTGAGCTCTATCTCTAAATCCGGCAAGAACACCATGCTCTCAGCTGCCGAAGGTGTTTTATAAGTCAGCCTTGTGAATCTCACCGCTCAAGAAAGGAAAAGCAAGGGAGCCGTTCCCCTGAGACGCAAAAACTGTCCAGGGTACAGAAGAGGAACTCACCGGTGGAGTCAAGCCACTGATGAGTAGCACCCCACCCTCACCCTGGGCAGCTGGCATTTGGGGCTTCCTTGGAGAACCAGGCCCTCTCAGTGACATTCTAGGATTGCTGTGTCCAAAACAGCATGTGACTGTTTACGTTTAAACTTCCATGAAAATTTTCAGTTTCTCTCACACATTTCAAGTCAAGTGCTCGATAATAGCTACATGTGGCCACTAGCTGCTATCTTGCACAGTATCAGAAAGTTCCATCCATCACAAAGTTCTCTTGGCAGCACTATTCTAGAAAAAGGAAACAACACTCCTTTGAGACTCGCAGCTAATGTTCAAATATTTTTTTTGCTTTGGAAAAATGAAGGCCAACGATAAAATAGCCAACAAAGCAATAGCACTTGGCTCATTGCTTTCCACAACACGATAGCAAAAGGCAGTCAAGCCCCAAAGCTGTGGCCTCTCCATGTGTTGAGAATCTCAGAATGGCTTCAGCCTCACCGGTTTACCTCCATCACATCCCATTGTTTGTCAGGCTCATTATCTTAGGAAAGAAGACCATTCTGCTGACATCCCTTGGCATTGGTATACAGGGGGAAACTAGATCTGCCACCGTCGTGGTGAGGAACAGGCGCTCTGGCTCTGGAGTTTGGACATGGTTTCTTTATGTGATATTAAGACATTCACACTATCAACCCAATACAGCTTTTGAAATTGCGCCACCAAAATGGGACATCAATAGATTGCCAGTTTCCACCCCACCCACCAAAAGGAGAAGTTCATTCTTTTCTTGACTTTCTGAAATATCGGTTTTAAAGCAAGGTGAAGTTTAGTGCAACTAGAGTAGTAATTCCACTTAAACTTTCCAATTATCTGGGAGTTAGTAGCCTCTCTCTATATTAATGCAAGTGACTAGATTATGACCTAAATTTCAAGTGTGCTTGCCAAAAGTGTGCTTCACCTCTTCGAGCTCCAAACTTCTCATCCATAAACTGGAGATAATAATAACAATATCTACTTAAGTACTAAAGTGACAATCCAATAAAACCATATATGCAAGGCACAAAGCATTCAACCAATGGCATCTATTATATAATTGCTGTTATCCAAAATCACAAAGCACCAACGTGCAAAATGTAAAAGACAGATTTTAAAAAATGACTCTGAAGTACAAAAATCCGGACTTTACCACCTGCTAATTGTCTGGCCTTTATCCTCCGTAAGCTTCAGTTTCTTAATCAGGCAACTAAGGATAAGAGTTGCTAACAACAGATGTGTTGGCAAAATGTGTTATTTTATGTGAAAATGGTTTAATAACAGTACGTCAAGTACAAATTTCTGGCCCAACTCCACAAAAATGAGAAGGAAACTATGTTAGGAAGGTGTTGCTTTACAGTAAAATTAATTTAGCTTTTATTATGGACTGTACTCCTTAACATGACTGGGAAGCAATCACTGCTGATGTCATCACTGAAAAGCCACACTGCCGTCAACATTTCCATCAAATAGGATTTGTGAGTTAATACTGTGGTAACCAGTCATCTTAGTCAGCCACTCTTTCTCCACATGAGAAATTTGAAGCCTGTACAGACATGTCAGGTCTCCTCTGAGAATGTGCATTCAAAAAAGATAGCCAACAGGCACTTACAGCAAAGAGAGGAATACTATTGAATTACAAAAAAGTCAGTTATTAATAGATCGTTCTTACAGGCGTGGAATTAAACCTAACACTTCATAAATTCTTGTTCATCATTCGAATGGCCACAATACAATGAGATAATATTCTTAAAATAAAACAGAAGAAATGTTAACAAGCTGTTCCTGTGTTTTGAAGATTAAGAGGAAAAAAAACCTAACTCAATAACAAAATATTTCCTGTTGCAGTAATAACACTTTTTATGTGTTAATATAAAATTAAATGTTGTTTTAGACATTTACCTTTTTCCCCCTAGAGTTTCTAAAGGCAGCAGTCATTTTGGTGGTAACCATGATAAGCAGAGAAAACAGAGAGACCAGGGATTTGAATGGAATTTATAGCTGACTCATAGGGAGTGTTTACAACGACATTGCCACTGGGATCCACCCACTTTACACCCTTTCATTTCCACCCTGCACATTTGTTAGGTAGAACCTTCAGGAGAAGCTGGGAATGTGGAGGACGAGGAAAGCAGTAACCAGCGTTGTTTGGTCTTATGCGTGCTAATTGATGGTTTTTCTTCCTCCTTTCTCTCTCCCTCCCTCCTTTTCTTCCTTTCTTTCTTTTTCCTTCCCTCAGTGACCTGATTTGTCTCAAAATGACAACTCAATATACTAACTGTTAATGTATTTAGGGTACTGACATTGAGACATTGGCTACAAGTTTCTATATATTAGGTAGTTTCAACTCTTAGAACTTGATGCTAGACAGAAATATTAATTAGGTAAAATTTATTGTTTGGTTATGTTTTTACTCTTTAGCTGAGGTTATAGAACAGTGCAGGCTTTTGTGTTATAGAAATGGATGTTGCATTTGTGTTATTCAAGGCTTCTGTATAAAATGCAGAAGCAAGTGATATACCTTGTGAGGACATCAAAATAACACTATTCCATTCTCCATTATTTCATTCCCTTGAAAGAGATCTGACATAGTATATAAGTTTTAAAAGAAAGTCTCTCTAATAATGATAGCTTTGAAAAAAATATTTCCCCTGTCTCTTTTTATTTTGGAAATTTTTTTCTTGAATTTATTGGGATGACATTGATTAATAAAATTATATAGGTCTCAAGGGTATAATTCTATAATATATCATCTGTATATTGTATTGTGTGTTCACCACCCAAAGTCAAGTCTCCTTGCATCACTATTTTTCTCTTTTGTATACTCTCCTACCTGCCTTCAACCCCCCTTGACCCTCTGGTAATCACCATATTATTGTCTGTGTCTATGAGTTGTTTTTTTGTTTGTTTAATCTTTTCACTGTTTTGACTACAACGCCCAACCCCATTCCCTCTGATAGCTGTCAGTCTGTTCTCTGTATCTATGAGTATCTTCCTATTTTGCTTCATTGTTTATTTTGTTCATTGGATTCCACATATAAGTGAACTCATATGGTTTTCATCTCTTGACTGGCTAATTTCACTTAGCATAATATTCTCCAGATCCATCATGCTGTTGCAAAAGAAAGATTTCCTTCCTTTCTAGAGCTGAGTAGTATTCCATTCTGTAAATGTACCTCAGCTTTCTTATCCACTCATCTACTGATGGGCACTTAGGCTGCTTCCAAATCTTGGCTATTATGAATAACGCTGCAGTGAACATAGGGGTGCATATATTCTTTCAAATTAATGTTTTGGATTTCTTAAGATACATTCCCAGATGTGGAATCACTGGGTCACAATTAATTTTAATTTTTAATATTTTGAGGAAAGTCTATACTACTTTCCAAAGTGGCTGCACCAATCTGCATTCCCACAGTGTTCCCTTTTCTCTACATCCTTGCCAGTACTTGTTGTTTGTTGATTTTTTTTTATGATAGCCACTCTGACAGGTGTGAGGTGATAGCTCATTGTGGTTTTAATTTGCATCTCTCTGATGATCAGTGACTTCGAGCATTTTTTCATATGCCTCTTGGCCATTTGTATGTCCCCTTTGGAGAAATGTCTATTCAGGTCTTCTGCCCATTTTTTACTTCGATTGTTTGTCTTTTTTTTTGTTGAGTTGTATGAGTACTTTATATATTTTGAATATTAACCCCTTATCAGATATATCATTGGCAAATATGTTCTCCCATACAGTGGGTTCCCTTTTCATTGTGATAGTGATTTCTTTTGCTGTGCAGAAGCTTTTTATTTTGATGTAGTCCCATTTGTTTATTTTCTCCTTAGTTTCCTTTTCCCTAGGAGATGTGTCTGTAAACATATTGCTACGGGAGATGTCTGAGATTTTACTGCCTATGTTCTCCTCTAAGATTCTTATGGTTTCATGCCTTAATTTAAGTATTTTATCCATCTTGAGTTTATTCTTGTGTATGGTGTAAGTTGGTGGTCTAGTTTCATTTTTTTGTATGTGTCTGTCCAGTTTTCCCAGCACCACCTTAATTTATATTTTATCCATCTTGAGTTTATTCTTGTGTATGGTGTAAGTTGGTGGTCTAGTTTCATCTTTTTGCATGTGTCTGTCCAGTTTTCCCAACACGATTTGTTGAAGACTTATTCCATTGTATGCTCTTGCCTCTTTTGTTAAATATTAATTGCCCGTAATGGTGTGGGTCAATATCTGGGGCCTCTATTCTAATCCATTGGTCTATATGCTTCTCTTGTGCCAGTACCAGCTGTTTGGGTTATAATGGCTTTGTAGTATAGTTTGATATCCAGCATTGTGCTCCCTCCTACTTCGTTCTTCTTTCTCAAGATTGCTGCAGCTATTTGGGGTCTTTTATGGTTCCATATAAATTTTTGGAGTATTTGTTCTAGCTCTGTGAAGTATGCCATTGGTATTTTAATAGGGATTCCTTTGAATCTATAGATTGTTTTGGGTAGTATGGACATTTTAATGATGTTAATTCTTCCAATCCATGAACATGGTATACGTTTCCATGAGAAACATTTTTTAATATTATAAACATTAGATGCCTAGCTAAATATAGCCAATTAAATACACTCTTTTATCTCACTTAAATTTCTTGCACTATGGGTAACTTTCTAACCTATCATCAGCATTTTCTCCCTCCATCTATTCTCCATCTATTTACACTAAGCTTCACCTTCCTGAAATTCCAGTTTTATCAGATCATGATTAATAATAAGCTTCCTCTGATTTAAATTCAAGTACATAAACAGTGGTATCTATTTATATATTCCAATTACAACTCAATGTAATTTTCTTCCCATATAAAAAGTGTTTCTAAAAATGAAGCAAGAAGATCATTATGTCAGTGAACATTTATTAAAAATTATGTCATCCTGTCAAACTACAGCGGAAAGGCTGGGGAGGGTTAGGGGGCGGGAAGGGGGGGTAAGAGATCAACCAAAGGACTTGTATGCATGCATATAAGCATAATCAATGGACATAAGACACTTGGGGGTAGGGGAAGCTGGGGGAATGTCAAGTGGGGGGGAAAGAAGGAGACATTGTAATACTCTTTGTAATACTTTAAGCAATAAAACAAAATTAAAAAAAAATTATGTCATCATTGGGACAAATTACCTCTGAAAGTTTGATTTAAGTAAGGAGCTAAATCAGTGGTTCTCAACCTTCTGGCCTTTTAAATACAGTTCCTCATGTTGTGACCCAACCATAAAATTATTTTCGTTGCTACTTCATAACTGTAATGTTGCTACTGTTCGTAATGTTGCTAAGGAATCATAATGTAAATATCTGATATGCAGGATGGTCTTAGGCGACCCCTGTGAAAGGGTTGTTCGACCGCCAAAGGGGTCGCGACCCACAGGTTGAGAACTGCTGAGCTAAATACATCCTATCAGGGATTTATATGTTTCCCAGATCCTACTCAAGAGTAGAGGGAAAGGGGCCTGGCCAATGTGGCACAATGGTTGGGTATCAACCTATGAACCAGGAAGTCACATGCCCGGGTTGCTGGCTCCATTCTCACAGGAGGCCACCAATCAATGATTCTCTCTTATCATGTATGCTTCTATCTCTCTCTCTCCCTCTCCCTTCTGAAATCAATACAAATATACATTTTTAAAAGAGAGTAGAGGGTAAGGGTATGGACAAGATTAAGCAAAGAAACAGGGATCCTTAGGGTACCCAATAATTTACCAATCCAAAAAGCTAAAAAG